GGCGGGGTTTCCCAGCTGGGGCGGCTCCCGCGGTCCCCTCCAGTCCCCGCCCGACCTCACACGGCCGCGGATCCGCCGCGAGCGACAGTACCCGAGGACGGCTCTGGTTCCACCGTGCTCATCTCGGCTTTGCTTCCGGACTGCACAAGAAGGATCAGAAGGACGAGGACTGCCATGCCAGCACCCTCGACCCCTAGACCCAGCTCAGAGTGACGGCAGGGTGCGCCACATACGGCCTGACAGCCCAGGCCTGACCCTACGTCAGTTCCGCCTGCACTCTTTGAGGGCACGAGGCGGGGCTGAGGAGGTGTGGTGGGCGTGGCTGCGAAGCAGGGCTGGGTGGGCCAACCCCGGGAGGAGGCGGGGCCAACCCTTCGCCTTGGAGGTAGGGAGTAGCCAGGGAGACCCTGAGTGGGCCTGACGCGGGAAGGCGGGACCTGAGGACGGAGTTAAAACCCCGACGGGAAGCCGGGAGTGAGAGGGTAAAGTGGCTGTGTGGGAGCGGAGTGGGAAGTGGGGCCAGGCCCGAGGTCGAGAGTAGGCGAGGCGGGCAGAGCTTACTCGGGAAGGGGCTGCTTCACGCGAGTCACAGGCAGTGAACGCCGCAGTCTATGGTTAAGATTTGGGCTAGTGCCTACGTGAGAAACCTGAGTCCCAAGTTGAATCGCCTTTTATTTCAGCTTGGCATCCCGTCCGCAATTCTTCCTGTCTGTGTAGTGTCCTGGGGTTGCAGAACTTTGGTCCACAGCCTGGACGTCGCACGGAGGCATCTCAGCATGAGATTTTAGAACAGAAAGAGCCCTTAAAGGTCTTCTCCAATCCCGGCAGTTTTGTTGGAGGAATCTAAGCTCGTGAAATGGCTTGTGCAAGCTTCCACAACCCAAATCCATTGGGCTTGGCCAAGAACGCCTTTGTTCTTGGAGAGAAAACTACTTGCATTACTTTTTTAGGAGTGAAATGTCGAATAGCGAGTCTTTAGTTGGCATGCTCCCCTTCCCTCCAGCCACACTGGTCTTGCCGAGCCTGTGCTCCATTCCGCACATGGTGGACTACTCGGTCTGCTTCCATGTTTAACTCGGTCTTTTGCTAATAGTTTAAATCATAACCCATTCCCCCATTCTCTTTTTAACCCTGCCCTATTTTTCATAGCACTTTCCATTTTTCCCCACCTAAAATATGTACTTTGATTTTACTATCTCTCGCTTAGAATGTAACTACACGGCTGAAATGTTTGTTTGAAACTGAATTAGTGTTTGTGGAGTGAAGGAATACAATGTGCTAGCTTTAAGCAAAATTGTAGAGAACAAAAACCACAAGAAGAGATTGCCCAAACTAGAGAGGAATTCTCAGCTAGATCATCTCAGTCCTCAAACCTTACTATACATGTAAACCTTAGGGATCTAGAGAAAATGTGTACTTTGACTCAGCAAGTCTGATTCAGGTTAGAAAATAAGGTTTTGCCTTTCTGACAAAGTTCGCAGGAATGGCAATGCCCTCAGCTATAGGAACACACCTTGACTAGGAAGACTTTAGCTGAATCTAGACCACCTTAGGAGATAATATTTCCTTTGTTTTGCTTGTGATGTCTGTTACATGAAAGGCACCTTCTAATCATTACAGATGGAAGGGCACATAACTGATTGTTGCTGGTGAGGAGAGCATGGATTACCATAGATCATAATATTCAGCTTGTAAATGCTTTTGTAGTACCCAGAACTCAGGTGAAGATTAAGGTGCAAGGCATTTGTTAGGGGTGTCTTGGAGTAAACTCTTGTGAAAGGAAGATGGAGGAAGGAGAGCAGAAGTTCATCCATGATACCATCCCAACCATTTTCAGGAGACCCACAGAACTTTGAAACTGGGATGGCCCCAAGGAAATTGTGCTGAGTTGGTAAAAGGGGCTGGGCCTTAAGCCCAGCACTGATTAGGCACTGAATGCAAACTGGCCCTGGAACAGGGCATGATTTGGAACTCTCTTTAATGGGGGGAGCATTCCCCAAAGAAAGCTGACAGCAGAGGGTGTCTACTAACAGTACTCTGAGTAGTAGGGAGGAGACGGAACTAAGTCTTCTGTTCCTGAAGGAGGATTTGGGTGAACATCACAATCACAGCCCTGTGCTAGTCATTTGAATACTAAAGGTGTTTACCAAATCATTAAATATCATGTGTGTGTCTAATATGGCTCCGTGCTGAGATACAGATGTGAGGTGAGACAGATGTGGGCCCTGACTTCAAGGAGTTTACAGTCCACTGAGGGAGATAGGCATTGTCTTAGTCATTTTTCTCATTGCTAGGATGTAATATCCAACACATGCAACTTAAGGGAGGAAAGGTTTCATTTTGGCTCACAGTTTGTAGAGATTTCAGTCCATAGTCTGTTGGCTCCCAGCAGGGCTGTAGAGCTGAGGGGAAGCAGAGAACATGAAGAGAGGAACTGGGGAAGGAGATAAACTCTGCAGGCTGTGCCCCCAGTGAACCACTTCTTCCAGCCAGACCCTGCCTAACAGCAAGTAGGCGATACTGCCCCATAATCCAGTCACCTTCCAAAAACCCCACTTATGAGTGCCTGAGGCTTTGTGGGGACATCTAAATATAAACCATAGCGCTCTGCCTCAGCCTTCCAAAGACTTCCTTTATGCAATGTGTATTTTCAAAGTCCATCTCTTAGAGTTGCCAACATCTTTATAGGTCCAGAATTGCTGAAAAGTCTGTCCAAACTCTCCTCTAAAATTTTAGGTAAACTCTTATCTGTGAGCACTATAAAAACAAAAAAGACATTAAATATTGCTAAAATACAATGGAACAGGGTAAAAATTCCTGTTCCAAGAGGAAAAAAATAGGGGGATAGAAAGCAAGTGGACCAAAGCAAGGCTGAAACCCAGTAGGGTTAACATTAAATCCTGTAGCTCTGTATCTAACACATGGGGAAGCTATGGTGAGATGTAAGCTTCAAATACCTTGGATTTCCCTTGTGGCTTCTTTCTTGAGCTGGCTCTGCTCTTCATGGCCTGCAGCTTTCCTGAGCAGACATTCCATGTTCCTGGCTTCTTCAGCTTTCTAAGGCCTCCGCAGCTCTTTTGGCTTCACACTCAAGCATCAAGCACTGCCTTCTTTGGGGCACGCTGCCTTGCCTAGGGATTTTTCTGAAATCTGGGTGGAAGCTTCCCTGACCCCACAACTCTCGGATTCTGCTTACCTGTAAAACCAGCACCACGCAGATGACCCTCTCTATCCAGATGACTCTTCTGAGTTTCAGTGTAAACCTGGCTAAAAGTCCCTAACAGAATCCATGCTGCTGCCCCAACATTAAGCTACCTTGATGTTTACTCCACAAGATTAACTAGAATACCACCCTTAAAGTTAGTTTCCTACAGAGTCTCAGGATATGAGCAAAATGTAGACAAATTTTCTGCAAGAGTGTAACACACATGGTCTGGATTCCAAGGGCTACAGAAGTCCTTCTTCCCAAATGAAATATCTTTTTACCAGCTGCATTGTATCAGCCACCAGGTCTGGCTCCAACCAGAATCCCCCATCACATTCAGTTTATAGTATTATAATACTGCTTCTGTAGCCAGCATCTCCAAATCTTTCAAAACTCTTCCTGTGAACCAGTTTCAAAGGCTTCTGAAATGGATGGTCAGGCAGCATTCACAGCAACAATCCAACCTCTCTGATACCAAAGTCTGTCTTAGTCATTTTTCTCACCATTTGAACATAATACCTAACATCTGGCAAGGAGGGAAAGTTTGTTTTGGCTTACAGTTTGTAGAGGTTTCAGTCCATAATCTGATAGTTTAAAGGCGGGATGGCATGGAAGAGGAGCATAGCAGAGCAATAGCTGCTCATGTGTGTCTTTGGGAAAGTAGAGATTATGATGGGAGGAATTAGGGAAGGAGACAAACCCTTCCAGGCCGTACTCCAAGGGACCTACCTCTTCTGACCAGATCCTACCTAGTAGCAAGTCAATTATATCACCCCTATAATCGAATCAGCTTTCAAATAGCCCACTTATCAATGCTTGGGGATTTAGAGGAACATCTAGATGTATACCATAGCAGGCATCAAATAGGCATTTCATCTGTAACTGCATCAGAAATTGTAGTGGTGGTCCCCATGGAGAGCAACAAGATGAAAGGAGCATAAATAGAGACCTAATAGTAAAACTTGTAAGTAAATCATTTCTAAAGGAGGTTACAGTTATGCTATGGCCTGATAAAGTGGGAAGATAAGGGAATCACAGGCTAAGAGGTAGGATGAAGATCAATAAAATATAAATATTTTAAACCCAATGTACAAAATTTGTAAAGCCAGAACAGAAGGAAATGAGCAGTGTGCCAGCTTTCCTTGTAAATTTCCAATGTCTAATGGCCAAAGAATATCATAGTATATTGTTGAATTTTTAAAACCATGAAATCAAATTTAGGGTGAGGAGTAGATTGTTCCAAAACCAACTGTACACTGGAGTGCTGCTCAGAAGCAGGGCTACATTTTGAAGGCCACATTCACTTTGACTTAGAAGAAATTAACAAGACAAGTAAAATAAATCACAAATACAGTATGAGCCAATGAAATCAGACCCAGGGTATGCAGTGTGCACTGTGCGTTTGGCCTCCGGCTCTGTGTGTTTCCTTCCCCTTTCCCCAGGATAGAATCTCTCCTGTTAACTTTTAAAGGAGACAACATGAAAACTTGTGTCTGAAACATACAGTTTTTGGTTCTCTTGATTATTTTATAAATTATAGCCAGTGCCCTTGCCTTCCTAAATTTACCTGTGTCTGTGCCTCCACACTGTCCCATACTTAACTTTGTTTTGTTATAGCATTAATTACCATCTGGAGATTTCATTGGAAATCACATATATTTATATATAGACACATGTGCATATATATGTATATATGTATACATAGGAATATATATGTATGATATATATTCTTCACAAATAATTGCTAAAATTGTGATAATCATTACCAAACACAGCACCAGGAATACAGAATGGTACATTTGATATCTAATTATAAATTATGTTGGTAGGTTATAAAATTGGACTTATTTTAAGAACTTCATATATGTATGTGTATGTATACGAGCACACAGATAAATTGTTTTCATTTGTATCTTTTCTACTAGAAAATGAACTTATTTTTTCAAGCTGCTATGGGCCCTGCACTTAGACAAGTGCCTGCCATTCTATAACATTAATTGAATAAATACATAAACAAATAAAACAAGCATATAATGAAATCCAGAATTGAAGCAGATATAGTTAAATTTATGATGGATTAATTTATTACTGAGTCGCTGATGAGAATTTAGGGATGTTTGGAGACTCTTTAGAGAGTACCATACTGGTACTAAATAAAGCAGTATCTGTTCTTTTGCTGTACATCTCTCTTAGCTTGAATGCTGACATCTGATGATATCAGACCAGCCCCTGCTTAATGGCAGTTATCCAAAGACAGCAATCCTTTAGTCGAGGTGTCCTCAACTTCTTGGCCACATACCACTATGGCCCACTAGGAACCAGGCTGCACAGCAGAAGGCGAGTAGTGGGCAGGCAAGCAAGTAAAGTGTCTTCTGTATGTACAGATGCCCCTCCATCACTGGCATTGCCACCTGAACTCCATCTCCTGTCCGATCAGTGGTGGCATTAGATTCTCATAGGAGTGTGAGCACCACTGTGAGTTGTGCATGTAAGGGATCTAGGTTGCACACTCCTTTTTGAAAATCTAATGCCCAGTGATCTGAGGTGGAGGTGGAGTAGTGTTGCTTGCACTGCAGAGTGGCTACAAACACAGATTAATATTAGCAACTACCACCAGCAGCACATTTCAGTGATGCATAATGGGTCACAAAATGTGCTTATTTGTGTGACATATTGAACCTGCTCAATGAATTCTATCGTTCACTTCGAGGGAGAATGATAACTGTGTTCAATTCAGTAGATAAAAAGGTGTGTTCAAAGCCATAGGGAAATTATGGTGGTGATGAATGAACCCTGGGATTTTTGATGTATTTCAAATATTAGCAGAGATTTTTTTCTTTTTATTGAGTGTATTGGTACAATCTAGGTCTATAATACAGTTATATTCATTACTGGGATCCTGTACCTTTACATGACAGGTCTTGGTTCTCATTTTTTCCCCTTGTCCCTGCCCTCTCTTCACCCCCCACTTCCCCATTTACAAACTCTTTATTTCCATTCTTTCATTTTCTCATATTTTTCGTTTCCCTTATTTCCTTTCTCCTACCCTTCCCACTTTCCCTACACCTTTAGCCCTTTTAACTTCCCCATTTACAAACTCTTTATTTCCATTCTTTCATTTTCTCATATTTTTTCGTTTCCCTTATTTCCTTTCTCCTACCCTTCCCACTTTCCCTACACCTTTAGCCCTTTTCTTCCTATTTCACACTCTTAATTATCCCATTAGGATCTTGTGTACTATTATAGTTTTTCAAACCAGAGAAAATATTCAGTATTTACACATGTGTGACTTATTTATTTCACTTAGGAGTATATCCTCAATATGTATCCATTTTCCTATGAATGACTCTAATTTCTCATTCTTTATGGCTGAGTAGTATTCCATTTTATAGAAAAACCACATCTTCTTTATCCAGTTTCTAAGTTTTAGCTATTACAAACTGTGCTGCTATAAACATTGGTGCACATATATCTCTGAGGTATGATTCTTTTAATTCTTTTGGAAAGATACCCAGCAGAGGGATGGCTGCGTCAAATGGAACCTCTAGACCTAGCTCTTTGAGGTATCTCCATATTGATTTCCATAGTGGTTGCACCAGTCTGCACTCCCACCGACAGTGGAGAAGGGTTCCTTTCTCCCCACAACCCCGCCAACATTTGTTATTGTGTGATTTCTTGATAGCAGCGATTCTTTGTGGGATGAGGTGGAATCTCAGTGTTGTTTTCATTTGCATCTCCCGAATGACAAGTGATGTGGAACATTTTTTCATATATTTACTTGCTGCTTTTACTTCTTTGTCTGAGAAATGTTCATCTCAGATGCCCATTTTTGAATTGGGTCTTTATATTTGGGGGGGGCTGGTTGTTTTGAGTTCTTTATATATTCTAGATAATAGTCCTTTGTCTGAGAGGCAGCTGGTAAAAATTTTTTCCCACATTGTAGGTTGTCTCTTAGTTCTGTTGATGGTTTCTTTTTCAGTGCAGAAGCTTTTTAATAAGATGAGATCCCAGTTGCTGATTCTTTCTGCTAGTTCCCATGCTGCTGAGGACTTGCTCATAAAGTCTTTTCCAATGCCAATGTCTTCAAGAGTTCTGCCTAATATATCTTCCAGCAACTTTAGTGCTTCTGTTTTAATATTTAGATCTTTAATCCA